GTGTACCATAGCTTTCCTTGTTTGGACTGGATGTCTTGTTTGGGACGAGTTTCCTGTTGTCCCCTTCTGAATGTGCTTCTTTCCTCGGAAATCCCTAAGGCCTCTTTTCTGTTCTGTTGTCAAGCTTATGTACATACACTCCCTATTTCTGCCCATTCCCCCTGGTCACGAGCTGGTGGAGGTAGTGAAGCACCATTCAACGGATGAAGGTCTAGACTGGCATGTGTATAATTGGCATTGCAGCAAATTTTTGGATGAATGACATTTATCATCTTGGGAGAAAAAGGCAAATTAGGTCTCCAAGTGACTGTCTGCTTAAAGACAGAGGCATCCTGTCATGAACGACATGCCCGCTATGGGAGACAATGCTGCATGAACCTAGTGCTGTGGGTTCATGTGTCTGTTTAAATAAAGCACTGTTGAAGTCTGTGGCAGCTGTTGCATTCATGCATTCATTGAGTATATTGGAACGTATACATTTTTACAGATTCCAATGGTCTTCCAAAATTGCTTTTGTTTCACACTTTGGATTTTCTCTTTTTTTGGAGACAAGAGTCTCATTCTGTTGCCCTGGCTAGAGTGCCATGGCATCAGCCTAGCTCACAGCAACCTCACACTCCTGGGCTCAAGTGATCATTTTGTCTCAGCCTCCCGAGTAGCTGGGACTACAGGTGTTCCACACCATGCCCATGCGAATTGTTCTATATATTTTTTAGTTGCCAACTATTTCTTCCTATTTTTTTTTATTTTTGAAACAGTAGTCTCGCTTTGTTGTTCAGGCTAGAGGTGAGTGGCCGTGGCATTCAGCCTGTCTCACAGCAACCTCAACTCCTGGGCTCAAGCGATCCTCCTGCTCAGCTTCCGAGTAGCTGGACTATAAGGCATGTGCCATCATGCCCGGCTAATTTTTTCCTATATATCATAGTTGTGCCAAGTTAATTTTCTTTCTTTGTATGAGATGGTTCTCGCTCTAGCTTCAGGCTGTTTCAAACTCGTGACCTCAACACAATCCCCGCCATCGGCTCCAGAGTGCCTAGGATACAGGCGTTGGCCATCACGCCGGCCTTCTTCTAGTTTTTTAGTAGAGACGGAGTCTTGCTTTTGTTCAGGCTGGGTTCTCAAACTCTGACCTCGAGGGGATCCCCCCGCCTTGGGGCTTCCCCAGTAGTGTTTCACACCTTGTTCATCCTAGCTACTCTGATTTGGGGGATGGACACCATTGGCTGTGGCATTGCAAGACTTAGGTGACAACGCCTTAGTAAATGCCAATGCGAAGTGTGGCCTCCCCGTGAAGTGCTCTGCCTCTTGTTCCTCTCCCATTAACCCCTCCCTTCTTCTCTCCTTAGGTGACAAGGCACTCTCGCATCTGCCCTCCTCTCCTAAATCATGTCCTCTTCATGCTCAGATGTCAAGGCCATAAATCAATTTGGGGAGGCTGTTGTTGAAAGGAAGGAGCTCCCTGGGACAGAGAAATCTGAATGACCATACTTTCAATGACAACTCTGCTTCTCCCTGGGGAGCTCTCTAGGCCGTTGATTCCCCAGTACGGAGTTCAACGGAAGTGATCTACATGTTCCACCCATCCCTGGAGTTCCCACCCCAAGGGCCCATGGAGTGGTTACCAGCAGGATTGGGGCAGGCTGGAAGGGTTATGCTGGCCTGGATATCATCTCCAAATTTCAGGTAGGCCCAGACGCCCCAATTGGCTGTGTACAGGGCAGTTTGATGATGGCCATTCCAAAGACAGGATGATTGGCAAGTGGCCGGCAATCCTCCATCTTGTTTTCCCAGTGTAGAAACCCTGTACGAAATATTACAGTGTAAGGATGAGAGGAGGAGAAACGAGAGCCATAATATAAGAGATGAAAGGTATCCTACTTCTGGTGTATACCCCAAGCACATGGACGCACGCCGGAACTTGAAGAAGGCTATTTGTACACTCTGTGTTCATGGTAAGTATTATTCATAGTAGCAATGAGGTGGAATGCAACCCAAAGCGTCCATCAACTGAAAACTGGAAAAAAAAAATGTGGCGTATCCATGCAAGGAATATTCATTTAGCTTAAAAAAGAGGGAAATTTAATACATGCCAACATGGAAATGTGGCAGAATACCGCGATCATTAGAGACACATCAGGTTAGTGGGTGCCAGGGGGTGAGAAAAGGGGAGAAATTAGAAAGTGACTGTTGTTGGGCGCGGTGGCCTTGGCACACCTGTAAATCCTGAGGCACTCTGGGAGGGCTGAGGTTGGGAGATTGCTTGAGGTCAGGACGTTTCAAGAACAGCTGAGCAAGAGCAAGACACACATTCTGCTACTGAAAGTAGAAAAATTATCCTGGCATGGTGGTGTACGCCTTATCGCAGTACTTGGGAGGCTGAGGCATGGAGGATTGGCTTGAGCCCAGGCAGTTGAGTTTGCTGTAAACTTAGGCTGGATGCCACGGCACTCTACTCACAGCAAAAGAGTGAGACTCTGTCTCAAAAAAAAAAAAAAAAAAAAGAAAGTGACTGCTAATGGGTACATGGGTTCTTTTTCAGGTGATGGAAATGTTCTGGAATTAGTGGTGATAATTGCATAATATTGTTAATGTACTAAAAGCCACTGAATTGCATACTTTAAAATGGTGAGTTTTATGTTTTGTTTTTGTTTTTTGAGACAGAGTCTCACTTTGTTTGCCCAGGCTAGAGTGAGTGCCATGGCGTCAGCCTAGCTACAGCAAACCTCAAACTTCCTGGGCTCTGAGTGATCGCTTCTGCCTCCAGCCTCCGGGTAGCTGGGATCACAGGCATGCCGCCACCAATGCCGGCTAATTTTTTTCTATTATATATACCTCAGTTTGGGCAATTAATTTCTTTCTATTTGATAGTAGAGACGGGGGTCTCGGCTGCTTGCTCAGCTGGTTTCGAACTCCTGCCTTGAGCAATCCCCGCCTCGCCTCCCAAGAGCTAGGCATTTACAGGCGTGAGCCACATGCGCCCGGCCTATGTTTGTTTTTGTTTTTTGAACAGAGTCTCACTTTGTTGCTCAGGCAAGAGTGAGTGCTAGCTCATAGAAACCTAAACTCCTGGTCAAAGCGATCCTTCTGGCCTCAGCTCCCAAGTAGCTGGGACTATGGGCATGCACCCACCGAGATGCCGGCCTTAATTTTTTCATTTATATATTAGTTGGCCAGATAATTTGTTTTCTATTTACTGTAGTAGGACGGGGTCTTGCTCTTGCTCGGGCTGGTTTTGAAACTCCTGACCTTGATGATGCCCTCTTGTCTCGGCCTCCCAGAGTGCTAGGAATACAGACGTGAGCTACCACGCCCAGCCTGGTGAGTTTTATGTTATGTGAATTTTATCTCAGTAAAAAAATTAAGAGGAAGGAAGAATATATGTCACACAGATATTAATTAAAAGAAAGTTGGAGCATTTATACCACATGGTTTTAAGATAAAGCTTTCTGTTCTATCAAAGACAGTTGATTATTGGTGAAGATAGATAGACCATTGATTCATATAGGAGTCCAGGATTGACGACATAGCACATTATGCAATGAACTTTATACAAAGATGCAAAAACAATGAAATAGAAAATGGGTTTTTTTTTTTTTTTTTGAGACAGAGTCTCACTCTGTTGCTGTGAGTAGAGTGCCGTGGCATCAGCCTAACTTACAGCAAACTCACACTCCTGGGCTCAAGCAATCCTCCTGCCTCAGCCTCCCAAGTAGCTGGGATTACAGGCGTACACCACCATGCCAGGATAATTTTTCTACTTTCAGTAGAGATGTGGTCTTGTTCTTGCTCAGGCTGTTCTTGAACTCCTGACCTCAAGCAATCCTCCCACCTCAGCCTCCCAGAGTGCTAGGATTACAGGTGTGAGCCACCGCGCCCAACAACAGTCACTTTCTAATTCTCCCCTTTTCTCACCCCCTGGCAACCACTAACCTGATGTCTGTCTCTATGGATCTGCCTATTCTGCACATTTCATGTTGTGGCATGTATTAAAATTTCCCTCTTTTTTTAAGGCTGAATAATATTCCATTGCATGGATACACCACATTTTTTTTTCCATTTTCAGTTGATGGATGCTTGGGTTGCTTCCACCTATTGGCTACTATGAATAATATTACCATGAACACAAGTGTACAAATAGCTCTTCAAGTTCCTGCTTCCAGTTCTTGGGGTATACACCAGAAGTAGGATACCTTTCATCTTTATATTATGGCTCTCTTTCTCCTCCTCTCTCCTTACACTGTAATATTTCTACAGGTTCTACCACTGGAAAACAAGATGGAGGATGCCCGCCACTTCCCAATCATCCTGTCTTTGGGAATGTCCATCATCACTGCCCTGTACACCAGCATTGGGGCTCTGGGCTACCTGAGATTTGGAGATGATATCAAGGCCAGCATAACCCTCAACCTGCCCAACTGCTGGTACCTCCATGGGCCCTTGGGGGTGGGAACTCAGGGATGGGTGGAACATGTAGATCACTTCCTTCCCTTCCGTAGCTGGGAATCCAAGGTCTAGAGAGCCTCCCCCAGGGAGAAGCAGAGTTGTCATTGAAAGTATGGTCTTCAGATTCTCTGTCCAGGGAGCTCCTCCTTCAACAACAGCCTCCCAAATTGAGTTAGGCCTTGACATCTGAGCATGAAGAGGACATGATTTAAGGAGAGAGGGCAGATGTGAGAGTCCTTGGTCACCTAAGGAGAGAAGAAGGGAGGGGTACTGGGAGAGGACAAGAGGCAGAGCACTCAGGGGCGGCCACACTTCCATTGCATTTACTAAGGCTTGTCACCAAGTCTTGCATGCCACAGCCAATGGTGTCCATCCCCCAAATCAGAGTAGCTAGGATGAAAAAGTGTGAAACACTCTGGGAGGCCAAGGCGGGAGGGGCGCGGAGGATGCTCTAGGCAGAGTTTGAGACCAGGGCGAACAAAAGCAATGATCCGGGTCTCTTACTAAAAAATAGGAAGTAAAGCGCCAGGTGATGGCTCACCGCTGCTGGAATCCAGCATCTGGGGGCCGTGAGGCGGGTGATTGTTTTTGAGGTCATGAGTTTGAAACAGCCTGAGCCAGAGCAGAGCCATCTTACTACAAATAGGAACAGAAATTAATTGGCCATAGTAGTATATTAAAAAAATAGCGGGCATGTGGCACATGCCTATATCCCAGTACTCGGGAAGCTGAGGCAGGAGGATGCGCGTTGAGCCAGTTTGAGTGCTGTGAGCCTAGGCTGATGCCACGGCACTCACTCTCGGTGAGCAACAAACGCGGGGAGGACGTCTGTTTCAAAAAAAAATAGGAAAGAATTAGTTGGGCAATAAAAATATATAGAAACAATTAGCTGGTTGTGATGAACAGCCGGTAGTCCCAGTATGGGAGGCTGAGAAAGAGGAACGAGCCCAGAGATTGCTGTGAGTGGCTGTGCCATTGGCACTTAGCCAGGCAACAGGTGAGTACTCGCTCTCCAAAAAAAAGGAGAAATCCAAAGTGTGAAACAAAAGCAATTTGGAAACATGAATCTGGTAAAAATTATACGTTGCATATACTAATGTAATGCATGAAGGTGAACAGCTGCCACAGACTCAACAGTGCGTATGGTAAAAGGAGCACGATAACCCACAGACTGTCATGCAGTTGTCGTCCCATAGCGGATTCTATTCATTGACAGGTCTGATGCCCCTCTGTCTTTAGCAGGAGCGTCGACTGTGAGATCGGCGTAATTTGCCTGTTTTCGCCCAAGTATAGTGAAAGTTCATTACAATTTGTGCTCATGCCAGATGATAACAACATGCCAATCTAGATCCCGATGTGTTAGATGGGCTTTCAGTGACCCCAGCCGTGCCAAGGAATGCAGAAGAGAGTGATAGACATAAGCTTGACAGAAACAGA